ATCCTATCCATTTTCCATTTGTAATGTTTCCACATGGTGTTGGCATTGCCCATTTCTGTCGTATATATACCAGACTTAAAGCGCAGTTACCCACGGACGTAAAAACAGAGAATGTGTCAGCTGACACAAGATCTATCCTATGTGATCTGGGTGTCAACAAAAACTTACCACCGCATGACCGTGACGTAGACGTTGCTTTTCTCTCTCTCTGTCAACAGCAAACTAGATATGTTTCTACGCTACGCTACGTACACGTTCGTGGGTAACCGGGCTCTTATGGGATATATTAAAAAAAAATAAGACAAAAAAAGGCAAACCAATCAGCCTATTTTAAATTTTGCATTTGTTTTTTATTTGAGTTTTTTTTCTCCTGATTTTTGGCGCCTTTTATTTACAATTTTTAATTACAATTCATTTGTTGTTTAATTGTATCATTTGGACATAAATAAACTAAAATAAACAAAATTTCTTAAACGTAAGTTTCCTTTTATAATTAATAATTTAATATTTTTAAATCAAATATTGCCGAAAAGACATAAAGCGCATAAAGGTGCACATTTTACACAAAAAAAGAAAGTGAAACGAGGAATCAAAGTAAAATGCATAGATGTAACAAATCTTGTTTAACATTATTTTTTATTAAAATATAATATTGTATTAATATCAAAAGTAAGAGTAAAGATTAAAAATTAAAAAATCCCTGCAATTTTGTTTAACTATAGCTAAGTTATATGTATGTATGTGGGGGTGTGTGTATCAGCCAAATGGTTATCAGTTTTATGCCAAATCTCAACTATTGCGATTTGTGGTAGTATAATTATACATTTATGTATGTATGTATGTATTTATTTATGGTTGCATCAATATGGTATACATGAATGTAGATTAGTATAAAAAAGTATGTGCCGTATTAACAGTTGAGTTTTTGTATTGTAATGAAAACATTCATTATTCTGTAATATCTGTAAAAAAAATCGAGCTTTTGCAGAGACTAAGTTAAAAAATGAGCTATTTCGTGCTAGCGTAATCCGTTCAATTTGTCTGCTATTATTTTCTTCGACGCGTATGTACACTGCCGGAACAACGTATTGGCAAATTTTTTTTTTTTATGGTGTATGCTACACCAAAAAACATAAAAATATATCACAAATATTCACAATATATGCAACAATTTTTATTCTAATATTTTTCCGCCAATTTTGTATAAAAATATGGTTCATTCTACACCAAAAAAAAACATAAAAATATAATTCCCAAGCTTTGAGAAAAACTCGCGAAAATTCAGCATTTTTTAACTGTTTAATCAGATTTTTTAGAATTTTTTTTTGAGTATGCAAATTTGTAGCCCAATCAATTTTATTATAATAAAGTTTTATGTAGCTAGGAATTACCGTTGATTTTTGGCACTTTTTTCACGCAGTCTCTTCCATACAAACAATTTTTTTTTTTCGAAAAATACTTTATATCGAAAAACTGCAACAAAAAAAAAATTCTCAAAAATTAATGCAATTTTAAACTAACTGCTAACTTGCATTTTTTTACTAGAATTTAATCGGCTGCAAAACTACTTAATAAAAAAATTCTAGAAAATTTAAAATTTGCATGAAAATTTGCTGAACTTTCGCGAGTTTTCCACAAGCTTAAGAATTATATTTTTATGTTTTTTGTTGTACAATGACCCATATTTTTATACAAAATTTCCGGAAAAATATTAGAATAAAAATTATTGCATATATTGTGAACAATTTGCTGTGCCAATACATTGTTCCGGCAGTGTATGTATGTTTTAAAACTTTCCGATAGCTTTTTTTATTTTTTGTTGATTTATGTTTTTTAGCCCGCCTAATTTTTGTTCCCAATTTTCTTTTCACTTCACACTACAGAATTTAATTTATTTAAACAAATGGGCTATTATTCCTAAATATTCGGCCCTCACATTTCTTGTCAAGCGTTTGGCTGAAGCTTTTTCCTCGCATCGGAGGTTCGCCACCGCCTACTGAAGGGTGGAACTTAAAAAAAAAAACACATTTCTTTGCTTTCGGCTACGGTGGCTGCCTTATTATCGGGATTATTTTATTTTATTTTCAAATACCGGCTGCCTTAAAGAACCTTCTTTGTAAATAAAATATTTCGCCACAGAATGACCGCAAATTCTTGGCGTTGAAAAAATACCTATCTATTTCAAAGGAAATTTTTGCTCTGCTTTTCTCACTCACGTCTCCGCTTGCCTACATCAGTTATTTGTAAAACTATACTGTTATTTATTACAAAATTATTAACTGTTTTTTTCTTATTATTATTCAATTTTTGCTTTAACGGCACTTGTGTGTGAATTAACTGTTTGAAAATTTGTATTTTGAAATACAAATAAAAGTCACACATTATGAACCTGTATAAAAATGCTTAAATACATTTTAGTTTTTTTTTTTAATAATGTATGGTATGTATGGAATAATTCCACTGTAACAATTATAAATTTTTTGTGTTTTTTAATATTTATAAAAAAATCCCTGGCTATTGCATATTTGGTCTATTGTAATGGGGTCTATTTGGGGGTTAATATGGGTGTTATTGTATGGGGTTCGGGTTAAAGGCTATTTATGTTGGGTAGGATATTAAGGTTCGGGAATGTTATGTTAATTGTGTAAATATAGTTTCTCTATTTATAAAAAATATTTTGATACAAAATGTACTATTGCAGTGTGTGGAGGATACTGTGGGGAGTTATGCATTTTAATGCGTGCTGGGATATTTGTGTTTAAGGGCATTTGGGGGAATATGTTGTTGTATTGTTCTGATTTTCAAATACTTCAAGTAATTGTTGTGAATATGAAAATTTCGTGTGCAGTTAATTCATAACAAAAATTTTGTTAAAATGTCAACATATAAAATGCCGTTACAGAGTTAAGGTTTTTACTTTCTTTATAGAACTAAAATGAATCAAGTGCAAAAATTCAGGAGAGATGCTAAAATAGAAATAAACAGAAAGCGTGACACACCAACTTATTTTTTTTTTTTTGTTTTTAGCAGGTACTGGTGCACATGAAAAATTCCAATGCTCAATTTATGTAGCAAAACATTCGCGCTGCACTTTCGCCTTAATTCATTTTAGCTTTAAAAAATTCAGTTTTCTTTTGTTGTAACAAGAAAAATAAAAATTATTTCGTTTAATTACTTTAAATATTCAAAAAACTATTGTAAACTCGTAGTTCTCAATTAACGAGCTTTAAGTGCGCTGAGTGAAAATGCTGCTTGAAGAAATTTTAAATTTTCTACTACTTTTGAACGCAAGAACTAGAGGATAGCAACTACAAATCGCATAGATTTAATGGAAAATTATACAAATATTGCTTCGTACAAAAACAAAGAAAATAGAAGTCAAGAAATTAAAATCTTCTGGATTTTTTCTATACTCCCAAAGTTTAAGCAGCATTTCAACCCTTAACACTCATAACATTGATTGTGGCTCTTACATACTATGGCAAAACTTAAACAGGAAGTTAATATAGAAGGTTTAATATTTAAAATATTAATGAGGTATATGTGGTGGAAATTTTGAAAATTGAATTTTGTAAACCGGTCTATTGCATAAAATTGCAGGATTGTCTGCGCGCCACTGCAGCCTTGAGTGTCAAACACTGCAGCGGGCGCACTACTGAGAAAAAAATAGTAATAAAAAAAAAACTTAGTACAAAAGTGTACAACGACATATCGTCAATTTGTTTGTGTGCAGTGCACGGCTATGTAAACACGTCTTATGCGCCACGATACCACGCTATGCCACAAAGTCCAGCGGCCTATTGAAGCCACCCTTGCGATTCATGTATTGACGATATTTGCGCTTTAAGATTACATGCACTTCTCCGACATCGTTTCCTTCGACTTTCTTATTTTTAGTGGTGTCGAACGTGCAGAAACCCATTGTTTTTAACATTTCAACCTCTTCAGCCGATTTACCCTCCAAATCGGCTTCTGTGATTTTGGGACGTTCAGCAGCGCGGCCCCGTCGTCCTGATGATGTTGAGGCTGAGGTAGATGGATGATCACGAGAACGGGACCTAAATAAGTTTCGAAGGCGGGATAGTGTTGACATTAGTACATTAATAAGACTGTGCTTAAATTGGCAGATAAAAACAAAAAAAAAAAACTACAATAGAAATATTATTGCAATTACGTTTCCCAACATAGTAGACGTTAAGAAACCATACATTTTAGTGTTTTTGTTGTTGTAATGGTACACAAGTTCCTCGAAGATTTCGGGGAAGAATATTGTAATGAAGACAGTCCTTGGCCAGTTAATAATCTGGTACGTTCCGGTTACGTAGAACCGACTGCCGTGGGAACGAGCATTTTGGTGGGAATGCCTCGGGCGTATTAGTCACCACATTAGTTGTTGTTGTTGTTGTTGTAGCGGCTACAACAACCCCGCCCAGATCGGTTGGTATCTCAGTCGTTGTCGTCAAGTTCCACTAACGGCAACCCTAGGAAGCGTGCAGCTTCTGTGGGATCTGTCCACAGGGACAAGGCCGTTAGGGTTGTCGGGTTTTCCGGGCATGCGAAGAGATGGTTCGAGTCATGTGTGGTCTCTCCGCATGCCGGAAATTCGTTCGACACATCCTCATTCAACCTACTCAAGTAGGAGTTTAACCTGCTGCAGTAGCCGGAGCGAAGTTGAGCGAGTGTAGTGCGTGTCTCCCGAGGCAGATGAAGCTCTGTCTCGTCTATGTCCGGGGGTGGTATGCCTAGAACGGCATTCACAGGTCTAGAGTCTACATAACTCGAGACTGAGTCCCTGTGAATGCCGTTCAGGGCCTGTCTGTACGCTGTCGGGTCCAGAGGTTGCTTAATGAACTTCCCACGACAGCCGGTTCTACGTACCGGAATGACTCGGGTTTCACCCGACCAAGGGATGTTGTTTCCGCGATCTAACCCCGTTTAGGCGAAGTATCTCTCACCACATTAGTCGTCATTTTTGCTTATTTTTTGCCTTTTATTAGAAAAAATACTTAAAATTAGTATTATGGATTAACATTAAATTTTATTTATTTTTATTACAAAAAAAAAATCGTAAGTCTTCAATTTAATTTCGTTTTCATTCATAGAAGACTTGCAGCATGCAGCGTTTAAGACATCTCCTCAATGAGAGTAGCACGCAATTTGGTTGTAACTGTGCTTGGTTGTGCTTGATTCAATTTGAATACACTCTCAATCACCGACATCTCCGTAGCAGTGGAACTCATGCCAACAAATGATATCCAGTCGTTCACCACCATTCCAGCTGCTAGTACATCGCTACCTCGATTGACTGTGCCCGCCACAAGCGGCACTTGCAGTAACGACGATAATTCATCTTGATCTTGAATGCTGGTTTTTGGATGCACCATGCCACCCTGATTACTAAGTACTGCATATGAGCCCACAAGAGGATTTTCGGCTATTGTTTGGCGAAACACTTCCACTTTAAGCACATCACCGATTATTTCTTCAGTCTCTTTATCAAGATCGGGATGCACTAATGCAACATAGTCATTGCAGGCGATTACATTTCCTAGAGCGGAAAGTCGTTCTTCGACACGTTGGATTTTCACTGAATCCGGCAACGTATTACGCAAATGTTGTAACTCCACATCGGTGGTGGAATGTGGTACAATTAAACCATTGCGGTTGCCTACTGTGAGACGGCCAAGAATGCGGCAGCCACCAATGCTGGCATGTACAACTGGTATTGTTTCGGCCAATTCCGATTCATATACACTGTAAAAGGCCTCGGAACCACCGATGGCCACTAGACAGTATGCGTTTGTAAGTTTGCTGAAAACGCCAATGTCATCGTTGTTCTCAAATTGCACGCGCAATGCCATTTTGTTTATATTCTTTTCAATTTATCACTGTGGTACTGGATATTCTTCTTTACGCGTTTAGTGTGGACTCTCGAATGGTGAAGTAAATCAGTGTCAAATAACTTTATAAAGTGTGCAATTAAATTTAATGATGAAATTCGATAATTTTGTCCATATATTCGTCGGCTATTTCACTTCACGTGGTAATGTCAATCGCATTGAAATGTCAAAAGCGACACGAAATGCCGTAAAAGCAAAAGCGAGGGAAAAGTCAACGCACAGGGTTGTACTCGTGTACACTAAATTTCTTAATCAGCCTCATTGTGACAATCGTGTCGAATGAAAGTCGTTATTCGAGAATCGAGTCGTGTCGAATGCAAGTCGTTTTCCGAGAGTCGAAACGTATCGAAAATTGCATGTCATTGCCTAAAATTTCAACTCGACAGGCGTATTAAAATTTAAAAACTTGGCAGCACTGCATAGTTTTCGACGATTTTCGTATTTACATATTTCTGCACGTTAGTAGACAATGTTGCCGAGTCGTACAATTTAGCCTAATTTACGACGTACGCAATGAGGCTGAATTACACTGATTAATTAATATACGCGTAATTTTAGAAATATGAAAAAATATAAGTACGTATCTTATAATGCTAGAAAATTATAAAAAAGTTGTATACTTAGTTCTGTGACGTTTCTGTTTTGGGGTTAATACACTACACTTTACTATTCACCTCGAACGCCGTCGGCTTCTTTCTCGCTCACGGCTGCGGCTCCGGTCGCGATCCCCTCCGCCACCGCCGCCTCTGTCATGTGAACGTCGACGCAATGCACGGCTGCTGCTGCCAGCACCCGATTCGTGTTCCCGCTGGCGTTCTCGCTCACGGGAACGTCGTTCACGCCGCTTTTTACGCTCGGATCGCTCTTTTTCACGTCGCCGATGTGATGGGGATGGACTCCGACCCATACTTTTGGATGAGGTAGCCGATTGTGAAGGTATGAGACGAACGCCGGTGGATGTTGCAAGATTTTAATTTGGCGCTATTCTATTCGTGAATGCGCTCGGTTTGTAGCAAAGCGATTTGTTGTTGCGTTGCTAATATAACACCGTAGATGCCTCTGGAACTAGTTACTGAATTTACAATTTACCTGCACATGTACTTCAATTAACTATTTGTTAAACTTACCGTTTTTAATGCTGTGCCTTACTATAAAATACCGACACCGGCATTAATTTCTTTAAAACTTAAAAACTAAAATAAAAACTATCACACCAACCGCGGCGTTTGGGACCCTTTCAGCAAATGCTTCTTCTTGATGTCAAAACGGCCTTGCTGTTCACAATGAAGCCAATGAGGATAACAGGGTTGCTCGCTGGTAAAATTTCCCAATTTACTGCCGTTCAGACACGTCAAGTCTTGCTTTCAAGTCTGCTCGTTCGTTGTTGTTGTTGTTGTAGTAGCATACAAGTTCCCCATNTAAAATTTCCCAATTTACTGCCGTTCAGACACGTCAAGTCTTGCTTTCAAGTCTGCTCGTTCGTTGTAACTTTAATTGCATTCAAGTCCTGGGTCCNGGGGAGTGTTGCTGGAGTGACAGTCCTTGGCCAGATATAAATCTGGGTCGTTCCGGTTCGTAGACACGACTGTTGTGGGAACGTCTGCTCGTTCGTGGGCGAAAGAGGGGGNGAAAAGATCAAAAGAGACAAGAAAACTTGAAACGAATTGACGGTACGGAGGGTATCTTTACTCATCCCCTCTCTTTACATAAGCTGTATTTTTTTGTAACCGGCCGTCTTCACATGCTTGAATNCAAGTTTTCTTGTCTCTTTTGATCTTTTCGTTGCTTCCCATTTAAGAACCCAGGACTTGAATGCAATTAAAGTTGACGCGTGTGGAAGCAAATAGAAAACACAAAAGAGAAAGCGAAAAAATTGCTTTCAAGACTTGACGTGTCTGAAAGTGGACTTAAAAATACGCCACCTGAAGGGTAGTGCTGTTAAGTGAAAAAACTGCACTATTGTGAATTGCTAATGGGATAGTGGAGAGGGAAATTTTGGTTTCCTTACTGCGTTCTGCTTTTTTCTCTCGCAAGCGAGATAGAGTTTTGTTGACTGGGCATTTGACAGCATACTTTTTCATTTGTAAAATGTCGCGAGACAAGAAGGTTCAAACCTCGCAGGCTCTTAAAAGTTTGAGAAAATTAGAAAATCTGCATTAAGAGACGTATACTATTTTCAAATGAAAAATGGCTGCCTCTAAATTTGTATTTGCCTCCAAAATAAACGATGTGGCTACTCTGAAGAATTCTGCGAAATGAGAACATAGCTGTCAAACAACAAAAATGACAGTTGAAAGCAAGTGAGAGCTCACATACCGCTCGGTACGCGAGAAAAAGCATGCTTCGTACTTTTTGCGGTCTACACGTGCGGTTTCTCGTATGCGTCGTCACGCAAGCGAGATTTTCCAGCACGTAAAGACGGCCGGTAAGCGAGCGACAAAAGAACGCTCAACTCGGGTAAAATTTCCTTTCAGCTACTTAAGCAACCCTGCTGGTAGCTGGCAAGAGACATGTGATTAGTTTAACGCGATTTAGATACAAAAAACAATAGAAATTAGTTATTATGCGAGGTATTTGCGTAATATATATACTTATTTAAGATATAAATCATGTATATACGCATGAACCAAAAAGACAAGATCACGACAGCAGAAGAGTGGCCCGTTATAATCGCACTTATGAAAAAAGTAGGGCGATTTTGACATAAGCCGTTTGTTTACATTTGTTCGTTGTTTACAATTTGGTGGTGGCTTTTTACTGCAATTTTCTTAATTTTCGCTTGTGACAACGTGTGCACACATAAGGTAAAGAATAATTTAACACAACGACATGATTTATAGGAGAATTTGCATAATAAAAATGATTATTCATGCGTTCAACAATTACGCGTTTTTTTTTGTTCTCTTCGTTGTTTACTTCTTACAACAAAGATGGCGTCGAGATTTCAACAGCTAGAAATTAACTTTTTTCTTTCTTTCCTTAAGGCGTGATCTTGTGTCTTTCGTTCATGGTATATACGAAAACAAAAATTTCCCTCTCCAATTTCCCAGTAACAATTCACAATAGAGTAATTTTTTCACTTAACAACACTACACTTCAGGTCGCGTATTTTTTAACCGACCTAGCTGAACTCGGATAAATAGCCGAGTTTGTGTTGTTGCTTTGCGTGTATTTCGTCATTTAAGCGAGTGTTTCTTTTGTAGCACGGTTGCAAAAGAATGGACCAATTATGTGTTTTTTATAAACGTGAAACACAAAATAATAACTATAACTGGTGTTTGGTTTGGTCAATCGTCTGTAGTGATTACGGTTAAGTAATTTTAATCATGAAACATTAAGTTGATTACGATTAATTAATTTTAATCGTTAATTTTTGATCGTTAATCAGATTAACATTTTGCCAACACTGATTTCTAGGAGGAAAGATTTTATAAAAATATATCTGGCATTTTATTTTAATAGTATTGCAACCCTTACAAAAATTTCCCATTATTTCTCCTGCAAATTTTAAAATGACATCATTCTCAATAAATTTCTAATTAGAATGAGTAAACACAACAATCCCTCAATATGCATATAGCGTGTACTCACTCGCACCTGTGAAAAAATAGCTCCGGAAAATCGACGCGAATACAACTGGAAAATGGAAACATAGGAAATTTTTGGCGAATCAGAACAGAAGCAAAAGCGGAATCGAACGAACCGAACCTCGACTTGAGTGTTTGCGCTGGAGGAGCTCAAAGAAAACGAACGTCGAGAATCGTAAGGCTTTAATAATTTGGTTTCAAAAATTAATTTTACAAAATTAAGACATTGCGGTGATCTTTTAAAATCGTGTAAATCACTTGAACGGTTTAAATTCAACAGACTAGTGCATTTAGAAGTTTCTAAAGGCTATAATTGGTGGGTAGAAAACTGTGCGTGGTATTAGAAAGTGAAAATTAGTTGGAAGGAAAATTGGCGAGAACGGGAATTAAAAATCGATTAGCATCAATCGCTAGATTTTTCGTGCTCTTGTTATTGTAGACTTCATATTTGTATTGCGATTAAAACCGGCTAACGCCCACTTCTGCTATTGGATTATTAAAGCATTAAAGTGCTGCAAATTTGCGGCGTGACATAATAGTGAAGAAATATACAAGTTAAAACATTTTATGTATTTAACTATTTAAGGACACCTGAATTTCGTGATTGCATTTACATATCTATGCATGTATGTATGAACATTTGACCTCNTTGGCGAGAACGGGAATTAAAAATCGATTAGCATCAATCGCTAGATTTTTTGTGCTCTTGTTATTGCAGACTTCATATTTGTATTGCGATTAAAACCGGCTAACGCCCACTTCTGCTATTGGATTATTAAAGCATTGAAGTGCTGCAAATTTGCGGCGTGACATAATAGTGAAGAAATATACAAGTTAAAACATTTTATGTATTTAACTATTTAAGGACACCGGAATTTCGTGATTGCATTTACATATCTATGCATGTATGTATGAACATTTGACCTTTGCTAGATTCGGACTTTGTGGTTACTTTAATAAACATTTTAATTACAGACCATTGATTTAGTAGGGCGTATGCTCCGTCACAAATTTTAATGTTTTTTTGTTACAAATTTCCCAATTGGAAAAGCAGAAAGGGAAATTTTTATTAAAAAAGATTACGTGCCATTGCGCGTGCTAGCGGCGTCCTAAGGGTTGCCATCAATTTTGAATTTAAAATATCCAATAATTAAATAATAGGTTTTCAGAGCAGTTTGTTTAAAATATGCCTATTACGATATAGTTTAACGTGTATTATGTGTATTATTCCTACCATTTGAGCAGTCCGGTACTCATCAGATCTCCCTTTCAAATAAAGCCTTGCTTTCATTTTCTTTCATCTTGCTTCACAAGCCAGTCAATTTTCCTTTTGTTTCAGTTTCCAAAAAAAATCCCTTTATTCTCTTGTGGCCGCCTTCCCGCGGTCGTTTGATTGGATTTTGAGTTGAGTGAATTTGCCCGCAAGGGCATTTTGAGTGACGCCGCTGTTGTCCCAGTTCGGCATCGTTTCCTCGTTTCATTCTAGTTGCTCAGTTAGTTTGTGAGTGCGTATTCCGACGTAGCTGTCGATTTGCTCCACTGGTAGACGCTAAATTCTTCAATTGGATTTGATTTAATGATTGAAAATACTATTTATTTAATAAAAAATTGGGCGCGCCTGTGGCAAATTTATAGCTAATAGAAAATGCAAATATATTCTGATTCTATTCAGTGTTAATTTGTGCAAAACTGTGACTGCATCCTTCAAAAATAAAAGGCAATCCACAAGAAAATCTGTCGTTCCGCGCAAAATATTCCGTATCTTAAGATAAATACGTTGCTGACGACAACGACGGGAAAAACGACAAAAATTGTTAAATTTAATGTGTTTACTTGTGTGTGTGTGGTGAAAATCTCAAGTTTATGAAAAAAATTTGAATAGAAAACAAAAAAATATAAAAAATCATATTTTTTTTTACACCTTTCGGTTGAAGAACGGGTTGAGTTTTGAGAGCAGAACAGAAGCGAAAGAATAGCAAAAATAAGATAGAAAAGAAGACTACACGGCAGCCAGCGCACGCACTTGACAGGAGAAAAAGGTGTGAAAGAGAAAGCAGACACGGATAAAATACGCAACAAAACGGTAAGTGAGAATCTGGCTAAAGTGGAATGTAAAAAATAATCAAGAGGGGTAATCGTGAGTTTAAATTGTATTGAGCGGGGCATGGAGGGAAAAGGAGGAAAAAGAGCTTGATGGGCAAAGAAACGTATGATTGAAGTGATAAATTCGTTATCGTATTGAGATATCATGGTACTTTTTAACATCGACGGTAGATAGTTTTAATATGGAGTAAATCATAGAAAAATTGTGTAGATGTTCGAATATATTTGCAAATCTTTAATTATTCGTCATAAAAAATATGTTTAATTTGTTTAATACATACTCCACACTTGTGGTCCGATAAAAAACAACTTTTGAAACCCTGTCAAGGTAAAAGAAAAAAATTTAGGTACAAGAAATTCACAGAAAATCTACAATTGGAAATATTGCGAATATTTTCAAGTCAAGTGAATAGATATACATATGTAATATTGGTACTATACAAAAGGTGTGAATTTAATTAGTCAATATTTTAACATTTTCTTTTAACTTAGTTAAGAGCCGGCCGCAAATGACGTCATGCTGTATCGCAACGAATATGTTGCGGCTGCGTTGGTTTTGTTTTTATTTTTTTATTTTTTCTTTTGATTTACTTTCAGCTATTCGTTATTCGTTTTCCGTGCTCTTAACATACGCTATTGCTAAATACTCGCATGTCGGGCTCTACTCTTTTTGCAGTTACTGTTGTTATTTAACTTGTTTGCCTCTGTTCGCTTGCTCGCTAGTGTAGTTGTATGTATGTATGTATGTATGTATGTATGTATGTATTATGATTATATGCAGTGCAACAACGAAATACGCCGCGAGCGAATGTCATCAATTGTTCTTATTCGCTGCCGCTGATTCGGTTTATTTTTTGGGTTTGGTCAATTTTTTAATTCCGTTTTGACGTCAAACATTGAAAATTTTATTTGATTTTATGATTGTACATGTATTCAGGGGCATGCTATGCACATACTTTAATGCCCGCCGTTCTACTCGATGTGCAGCATCCGCTCTTGTAGTATGTATTTGTTATTTTTTTTTTGCAATCAGTTTAATAATTGCAACGTCATGCCATCAAAGTTGTTCCCGAGAAAGTGGTAGATCTGGTGGGCAGCGCGCCAGCGTGTTCGGACATGCACATTGAAAGGAAACAATAATTGAAAGCACCTACTTGAAAGTTTCCACAATAAAAAAAAATGAGAATAAGGACCACATTGCCATTGTATTATGTGCAAAACCCTAGGTACAATCATGAATGCATGAATGTACATACAATGAATGTACATTAGGGCGAATCACTATAAAATTTATTATTAGTAAGTAGCTTCTAAAACATATCTGCCATATAAACACATTTTATGTGTTAGATACTTGAGAAAACAACCCTAAAGACTGGCTATCACTATGTCATATTTTGACGCCAAAATTTGTTGTCATATTTTAACACAAGTTTATCTTCAGCCCATATACACGACTAAAGACCTACCCCGGTCGAAATCAATCGATATAACGCATTTTAATCCAATTTGGCAATGTGTTTTTACTTATTTGACGACAAATGTCATTCATTTTGATATAGTGAAAACCAGTCTTAAGTCTTTCGCCATAATATTTTGGAATACTATTGAGATTTAAGTGACCGATTTGAAAACACCTAAACATTCCAACATTTTTATGTAGACCTTTTAAACTTAAATTTCCTATCATCTGATGGGATTTTTTAGGAAAAAATATTTTCAAGAACCAACCCCGCCTTTCTTTGGTTAGGCACCCTAATGAACATATAGGCATACACGTGGGCAATATATGTATATCTTGATGGTCTTCATGCCTCATGTTTTAGTAATTGAAGAGCGTATGTACATATATAGTGTAAAAATACATTTTCGTTTGGTTTAGCAGCACTATTTGGGTTGTTTTAATGGCGATTATTACATGCATTGAATCCAATGAAATGAACAAGAATGTACAGAAAAGCGGGAATGCGGAATGTAGAAAATACAGTAAATCGTTGTGAGCTAAGTATTATTACTTGCAGAATTTTATCAAAACTAAATTGGAACTTTTCTGTAAATATTAGCCACGATTGTTGAAGGTTTACAGATATGTAAAAAAAATGACACGACATTTTAACATTTTTCTTTTATTTGTTTAATGTTCATTTTATTTTTTAATTTTTAGAAAAATTCTGATTATGCAGTTTCTTAGCCCATTAAATTCTAGCAAGTTAAAAGTGGCTAAGTATTCGCGTTGATTTTTGATAATTTTTTTTGCGTGTGGTGTTTTTTTATTCCATTCAAAAAAATTATCGAACATACATACATACTTTTTATGGGAGCAAATGCCTTACACAGTAGCGCGTTTTATATGTACATATGTACATTCACTGCCGGAACAAAGTATTGGCACAGCAAATTCTTCATAATATATGCAACAATTTTCATTCTAATATTTTTTCGCTAAATGGTATAAAAATATGGTTCATTCTACAACAAAAAACATAAAAATATAATTCCTAAACTTTGTGCAAAACTCGCTAAAATTCAGCAATTTTTCGTGAAAATTTTCCACTTTTTAATCAGATTTTTTACAATTTTTTTTTTGAGTATGCAGATTTGTAGCCCAATCATTTTTATTACCTAGGAATAAGGGTGGGCTTTAGTATTCAGCCGCACCTTTTGTTTTAAGAAAACCAGGTGGAATTAAATGAAACTTGGTCAGGATGTTAATGGAGGTACCCTCTAAAACATGTATAACTAAAAAATATAAACAATATAATTGTTTATAAGTTATTTGTTGTTAATATTTCTTACATCGTTCCACTTGATTTCCTTATCAAAGAGTGCATTTGTCACCCACTCTCATATATATAAATGCACATAACACTACCTAATAGTTTACACACTTTTATTTTATTTTATCTTGTATATAAATCACTCTAATCAAACTTCTATTAACTTGTAATTACATTACATTGCACCCATATTTACAATAACACATGGTTGCAAACTGACACATAAGATGTGTTGCCATACCGTACAAAACAATACAATAGAAAGAATTCTACGTAGTGAGGGTTATAATCCCTAAGTGCGCCCGCAGGCCGCCAACGCAGAAAGGTGTTCATTGCAAAAGGTGTTCAGCCTCTCTTTTCGGCAACACAGAAAGGAGAATTCTACTAAGAGAAAATTCCGCATTAAAAATTTGCTTTTATTATTCAAAATTCCAGTCTGGCAGCACCAAGTTTTATGTTATTTTGCTATCTTATTCATCGTTTATACGAAAACTTTACCAACAAATTATATAAAAACTATAGGGTTGCTAGAAAAAGGGGGGTGTTTTTGAAATCAGGGAGTCCTATTCTACCCCCCTCGTCCACACTTTTTCTAGAATTTGACATCCGCATACTAAAATTTTCCCAGGAATAATCTAGGAGTTACCGTTTTTGGCAATTTTTTTCACGCAGTCTCTTCCATACAAGCATTTTTTTTTTCGAAAATACTTTATATGGGNTTTTTTTTTATACTGTTTATACATTACCATCATTTTTATTCTCATCATTGCCATGGGCTTTTATAATTATCATTGCATTCTACTACATTCAAACGACTATTCTTGCAACATTGCGCGCCAAGTCGAAGGTGTNACCACATTAGTATGGGACCACCTCTGAGACACTACCTTTCCGATTCAAAAAGAATTATCGAAATTGGTTGACGTGGTCCAAAGTTATGCGGTAACATTAGGGTGGCCCTTAAAAATGAAATGGTTCGGTTCAGGCGTGTTGCACAGGGGTCAAAGTTCAGATTCCCCTATGGAGACTGAAAAAATTTAAATTAATTCTTTTTAACGCCTTACCCTACTCAAATCGGGACCAAAATTTATATGTGACATCTTCGACGTTAAGCAGTATCGATTTTGGGTATTAGATGAAACAAATATTAATTTTAATTTTTTGAGTCTCCATAGAGGAATCTAAACTTTGACCCCTGTGCGACACGCCTAAACCGTCTCCGATCGGGACCAACATTTTTGTGTGATATCTTTGTCTATATTAGCATCGATTTGGGGGTTGACGTTTAAGAAATCTGATGTAATAATGTACTTAATACATTTAAGGACCACCCTAGGTAACATACATAAAAAAAATATATATATATATAATTTCGACGAACTGATAACCTCCTCCTTTTTTGGAAGTCGTTAAAAAATGNAAAAACACTACAATTAATGCCGTAGTTAACTTTTCCAATTTCGAAAAGTGTAGTGCTAACTTGACAGACGTCGATTTTTGACTAACTCCGAACTTACATTTTTTTACTAGAATTTAATGGGCTGCAAAACTGCATACTCAAAAAAATTCTAAAAAATCTGATTAAAAAGTTGAAAATTTTGATGAAAATTTGCTGAATTTTCGGTAGTTTTGCACAAAGTTTAGGAATTATATTTTGATGTTTTTTGTTGTCGAATGAACCATATTTTTATACAAAATTGACGGAAAAATATTAGAATAAAAATTGTTGCATATATTGTGAAAAATTTGCTGTGCCAATACTTTGTTCCGGCAGTGTATGTACATACATATATAGTATACCAAAAGCCTAAATTGTGCACAATTCGTTGATCCTGTTGCATTTAGTAAGAGTTTTACAGCAAGACATTTGCTTTGCGTGACCATTAGTTACTTATCAATTTTGTTGCTGTAAAACATGAATGAAACTTGTTAGCTAATTTGCACACCGCAACTTACTACACTCACTTGTTAGATATTATTCTTGTTGCCAACGCATTATATGCATGTGTATGTGTACATTCACATGTATGCACTACGAGTATTTGTTAAAATGCGTAAAAAAGCGAAAAAAAAACAGTCAAGTCATAAGAGAAGTCAGAAATCTGGGTTAAACCTACAAAGCAAGGCACGCGACACCGACACCAAGCTGCCGTCTCATTTATGCAGCGGCCACTGACTGCACCGCGCCGTCATAGTCTAAGCA